AAGCAAATCAGTTTGACATGATATTTTTAAAAATTTATTTTAAAGAAAGCAAGATATAAGATTTCTTGTTTCACCAAATGGATATTAACATACAACACAAATAGCCTAAAAAATCAACTCTGAAGAAAGGCTATTATACAAATAAACAAAAATATTTTTACAGCAAAATGATATGGAAAAAAAAATAGAACAAGGCTATTTGAATTGAACACGCTGCTTGCTTTGGCTTGTGGAGCTTCAGATACTTCCTTCACCGCAGATGAGAGCAGGGTGCGGAGACAGGTGCGGCCAGTGATCAGATGTTCCATCTGAAGCTTAACTATACATTTTTTTAACTTTCAACCGAATGGTCGGACCTGCCTCCCCCACATAAGTAGATTAACACAATTTATACTGTGCATTATTATTTAGTTGTCTTTGTGCTGTATGATTCGTAAAACCGTGTCAAAGTCCGAGACCGACCCGCCTATCAATCACATTATTTTGGCCTAACCCGGCCTAAATTTTGTGTCGGGCCAGGACGTGCCCAGGTTAGAAATCGCAGCTCTAATACTTGGTTTATTTACATAATGATTTTAATTGCCCCTGAACTGATGGCTTTCAGAAACTGTGAACACCCCCCCCCCCCCCCCCCCCGAGCAGTTTTGTTGAACAGCCCTGGCCTGTATGGTCAGAATTACACTTTTTTTTCTGCAGGAATAATTACATCACAAGAAACCTAAGGTAGTGTGAAGATTTTTAAAAATAACATTATAGATGTTTCAGTACAATATATAATTTTATAACCCTAGCTGAAAGTTTTAAGATTAAAACTGGTTTTACGATGGAAATCCATATTGTCCTGGCCCTGCTTGGATTATTGGCTTTTCAATCCAATCAAAACTAAAGTCTATTTGTTCCGAAGCCTAAACTAAGATTTATCAAGATATTGTTCACTTTTTTCACAGAACCCCACTTTAAATGATCTGAACTAACCCTTTAATATTAACATTACGTTAAAAGTTGTTAAATGTTGAGCTTATGGGTATTTTCACATAAAGTGACAGGACCTATCTGCAGGATCACATTGGTTGGAAGCTTTTCTAGGCAACATAATTATTACATATGTGTAATTTTGTCAAAACCTTTGTTGTGTTCTGTTTTCATTGTATGAATAATACCACTGTTGGCTGCATTTGACAATATACATGCATGGGTAAAGAAACAGAAGTAAACAAATCTCAAAGTATTTAAACATAATCAAACTTTAAATGGTTAAAGCTGCCCTGCGTTACTTCAGGGCTCCCTACTCCTAACGAGTCGTTGTAGAGCTCTCGAGTGTCACAATCAGACTTGAAAGGTGCCACATCCACTCCTGGGCTTCATGTTTTCTTTAGGACTTGCTAGATTTATGTGTCTCAACAAGCAAAACTTTTCAGATTGCACTTCATTTGCTCTAAGACAGTAGCTTGGAAAAACCCAAAAAACATTCACAAGCAGAAAATATTTTGATGCATCAGCCTTTTTCAAAAGTTATGATAAAAAAAAAAACTTGTTTATGACTTTTCACATTCATAGCCTGCAAGAAGAGACTGGCATCAGACCTTTTTCTACTGGCACCAAATGCAAAATAAAGGTAATGTCCCATACTTTATAAAATGCTAAATAAATAAATTACATATTTTATTTACTTGGAGAACAAACTAACCATAGGATGCAGATTATAATGGGATATTATTTGTACTCTTCAATGATACTAATGTGTCTGAAGAATATCTTAGAAAACTAAAGTCGACTGGATTTTGCTGTAGACTGTCCTTACATGTATGAATCAGTGAAAATCACTTGGTTGGTTTGTTGGCACGGTATAAGCAAAATAGGAAGTCTGTTTATTTTTTGACCCCCAGATGTTTTGTTGCCAAACTATTAGTATCTTGACCACCGTGTGCACTGATTGAGCTTTGAAGAAAGCTTCCTGTGAGCGTGTATGATGGAGCAGGCCTGCTGCAAAGCTCTCAGGAAGTATGCATGATGTATGAAGTCGAACGCTACAGTTATTAACAAAGATGTCCACAGGCACATTCTGTTTCTGCATATCAAAATGATCTGCAGTGTACTCGCTTTTATTTCTCACCCAATGTGGGCATTGTAAACTTCATTAAACAAGTCCACAAATAGAAGCAAAGTGGAAAAGCCATGCTCTCTTTGTATTTCTGTGTCAAATGTTCACATATTGTTTCTTACCTCCTGTACATCTCCATTTAGAAACCCCCATCTATTAAAATACTGCTTATAGGTTCAAGCCTGCATAGGAAGCAGAGACTCTGTACAGTCAAAAAAAATGTTGCTTCAAACAAAATCTGTTTCAGTTTGACAAATAAAAACATATGTGTGACAATGCTGTGGTGTTTACTTGGATTTTCTTGATGCTTTCATTCTGAATTTATTTTTAGTACAATCAAAATCCATGCTCAATAATCCAGGTAAAAAATCCAACAAAGTTCAGTCAGGTCATCTGAACAGTTTATTTTTTTATTGAGAAGTTTTGTCTTTTATCCAAAGGACTTCATCAGTCCAAGAAGTCACAACAAACTCATTCCCACAAGCAGCACACTCATAGAGTGGACCAACCAGTTTTATGGTGATAAGATGGTTTCTGGGGCTTGCCCTCTCCCCGGTCCACTCCTCTTAGGCAGCCATAGCCAAAGTTGTTCAAAACATCAAAGTTCATGCTCAATAATGTGAGCAGCACACGCACTATGCGAGTGTGCTGCTTGTGGGACTGATTTGTGTGTGGCTCCTCGGACTGATAAAGTCCTTTGGATGAAGGACGAAATATGTCTCCACCAAAACAGAAAGCTTCCAGATGACCTGACTGAAAATTGTTGGATTTATATCTGGATTAATGAGCATGAACTTTGATGTTTTGAACCACTTTGGCTATGGCTGCCTAAGAGGAGTGGACCAGGGAGAGGGCAAGCCCCAGAAACCATCTTATCACCAGCAAACTGGTTGGCCCAACATGTTAGTGTACTGCTTGTGGGACTGAGTTTGTTGTGGCTCCTCGGATTGATGAAGTCCTTTGGATTAAGGACGAAACGTCTCAACAAAAAAGAAAGCGTCCAGATGACCTGGCTGAACTTTTAGTACAATGTTTGTTTGT